ATAGGAAAGATCCACCCCTCTTTTCCATCATTCCAAAAACCAGTTTACTAGGATTATTATCTTCTAGAAGGTAAGCTCCACGAGGGCAGGAGCTACATAAACCCTGTTTATTGCTGTGTCCCTAGTGATGTACTTTTAGTTTTTATAAATCGGAAGTTTGAAATTTTCCCCTCTTGGGGAGTGATGGAAATGCTGGGTATCTTGATTGCGGTGGTGGTTTCATGGCTGTGTACATCTATCAAAATTCATCAAACTGTACATTTGAAATATGTGTAGTTTACTGTACAGAAACCATACCACAATAAAGGTATTTTGAAAAATAAAATAAAATGTAAACATATGAAGGAATGACTGATGTACCTCGTTTTGCTGTACAGAATTTAAAAGTCAAACACACTTGAATTTTCTACCGTACACCTATTTGGCAACTTAGAGGATTTCAACTTCAGTACCTGTGAAGTGTTGAAGATAATCAGAGAAAGACAGTCCTGGAAACAGACTACGGAAATAAAATGAAAGGCAGAGAAATATGCATGTTTTTTCAATGACGCTTTGGAAAAGACAAAGAAAGCAAGGAGAAAGTAAAACCGACCCTCAGGAGTATCGCCAATGATGTAGGTGTGAGGGGGACTAACACCGAACGGGAGCGGAGGGCAGGTGTACACAATGTTGAGTCATAAAGTCAAAAAAGCAGCACACGTCTTCAGGGACAATGGGGAGCCAACAAACGACTTTTTGCAGAAGAAATAGATGCCACACGATTAGATAGTTATGTCAGTGTCTTGTTAGGACTATAGGTGGAAGTCATCTAGAAAAGTTTCTGATGAGCAAAGGGATAAACTGATTAAATTAGAATCTCTGCTTATTATTTCAAAGGTATTAAGGTTACAAAAGGCAAGGAAAATCTAACAAATGGTTCTAGATTGTAAGAAACTAAGGAGAAAGCTAAGTGCAATGCATGATTCCCAGACCTGGATCCTTTTGCTATTAAAAGTCCATTTGCTATAAACTGGCGAAACTGGAAATGGAGTTTAAAGCTTTGATAATAGTAACATATCGATGCTAATGTCCTAACTTGGATGCTTGTGATTTGGTTATGTAGGACAATGTCCCTTTATGTTAAAAATACACCCTGAAGTATTCAGAGAAATGGGACATTATGGTGGCAACTTAATCACAAACATTTATTTATTTTCTTAAAGTTTTGTAGACTGTACTTGCAACTTTTCTATAAGCTGGAAATTATTATTTTTTTAATGAGAATGTTTAAGGGTACACCTGGACATTCGTATATTAAACACTGCCTAGGTGATTCTAACATGCAACCAAGGCTAGAAACCACTGCTATAGAGTCTTCATTATCAACACTGAAGAAAAAATGTTACATACTTTTGTACTGAGTACATAAACCATAATTTATTGAACCAAACTCTTCTTTCTTTTCCTTCAAAGATGATTTGTTAATGAGTTTTTAAAGGCCAGGCAAGACAGATTCTCTTCTCTATGAGTACTAAGTCCAAGGGGAAAATATATATAGGTAAACAAAATGCATGGTAATAACTACAATACATTTGTTATCATTTGTTTGGAAATCACTATGTGCTGGGCACTATGCAATCTGATAAGACAGGCACTGTTATCTTCCTTTTACAGAATGAGGAATCCTAGGCTCAGTGAAATGAGTAACTTGCCCTGGAGTACAGAGCGAATGTTGACCCTATACCACTGCATGAGAGGAAAGCAAGGTGCTGTGAAAACACGCAGATGGAGATCTGATGTAGACTATGAGTTTGATGGAAGGTTTTTTCAGAGGTAAAAAATATCTCATAAATCTTTAGACATGCACACTATTTCCAATTTTAATTATCTGCAAATACTTCCTAAATGAACATCTGTGTGGGAACTTTCCATTTAGTAGTCCTGCGGCTGCCTGTCCTTTGGTGAGATTCTAAGAAGTAGAATTCTGGAACAAAGCGAATAGAAAAATCCCATGGCTTTCAGTACCTGCTGCCACACAGCTGTCACCAGCCATATGAAGGTATTTTCCTGAAGCCTCACCAGAAGTGGCCATGGATACTGTAAAAATTCTTTCCCATTAGCAGGAAACTAATATTTTTTATTTCTTTTATTACTAGTTAGGTTAAACATTTTTCCATTAATGCTTTCTTTCAAGCATAGATTTAAGATCTTTACAACTACTACCAACCGAGTATCGGGGCATCTCAGCAGTAAAGTAACATCCTAGAAGGTCTCCTACTATATAGACGCTGTCATTTTTGCTCATAACCACAAAAGTGGCTGTGTCACAACAGCCACATCTAATGAAATCAGATGTCTATACCCATGCCAAAATCCTTGACCTCTAAAACTTCTGTGAGCTCAGTGAGACAGAAGAAATGCCCCGTTTGACTCTGAAATCCTATCACGATGTCAGCAAGTAAAACACACCCTATAATTGCTGTAAAAATAAGTAAATAAAACAACTAATGGTCACAAAAATATAAACTGAAACCATATTTTCTGAGCTCTACACATATGATGCGAATAAAACTTGGCTCAGTAAACATCACATGAGAAAAAGGAGAAGTCGCTTGTTCCTTTCCTTCCCTGCTTGACACATAACTAGTGTGCCCATGACAGTTCTGGCTTATTCCTTTTGTCCTAACATCCTGATTGGTTCTGGACTGGGCAATAAATTTTATGGTCCCTGTATAACTAATGGATGTTCCCTTAATGAACAGTAGATCTAAGTACAAAGTGCTTGCCTGATCAGATAGCTTGTCTTTGTGTCATCCTGAATTTCATTTGAAAAGTCTCTGAGCAGATAACTCTTTGGGCCTCTGTTTGTCTGTCTGTTTTTTAAATAATACTTTGCCATTTAAAGCTAAGTGGCAATCTGCAAATAGTTAATCCCCTGACTAAGAGAACACCCCTTGTTAGTATCAGCACTCCTTACTCCATTTTATTGATAAGAGAAGTGAGGCATGGAAAGAAGAAGTGACTTATTTCAGGTCTCGGCAAGTATGAATCATTGGCCATGTGAAAGGAGGCCGCTGGAGCTCCAACTTCCGGTTTTGAGGAATTCTCGAAACCACACAGCCATTAATTTGCAATTAAATATCCTGTGCAGTTATGTCAGAAAGATTTTTAATCATTTAGTAAATGGCTTTGTAAACTACATGTAGTAATAATCTCTTTCAAACTGCATGAGCAAAATCACAAGCATATCTTGGATAATATTTTCCAGTGGGCATACATTTCATTGTTAATCATATTTCAATTTCTTTGAACAACCGTCTGAATTCAAGGCTAATCTATAGATCCTAAGCTCTCAGAGGGTAAAGGGAATACTTATAAAATTGGTGAAAATTTAAAGTAAGTATTTAGTCCTTTAGGTAAAAATAAAATTTGTTACATTTTTACATTTCAGAAGTATTTACGTCTAAATTTCATACTAGGGTACAGTTTGGATAAGATTTCAGCAGATGAACATCTTGGATTGTACCAGAAAATCGAAATGGAGCCAGCTAAATCATTCTCTACAGCAACAAAAGCAAAAACTGATAGAAATAAATCTAACGGGCTATGTCTAAGACCCATGTAAAAAAGGCTACTGTCTGCATAAAAGAAGCAGCACATCAAAAAAAAAAAAAAAGCAGCACACCACACAGGCAGTTGGAGGGACCCACTTGCCACGTCACCCTCACACTAATCCATAAACATATTGCAATGTCGATTAAAGTCCTGTTGGCATCTTGTGGGGGCGGGATAAAGGACTTGGTACATTTCATTTTGAGAAATAAGTTTAAGAGAATAATCAAGAAAACCTTTTAAAAGTTTAAATCAACTACAATAATAAAAATAGAATTTTGCTAGCACAGACCAATCGAATAAATTGAAAGTTCAGAAACAGGCACAAGTGTACATAAGAATTCAATACATGAGAAACAACCATGAAAGAACAGAAGGATTTAATAAAGAATGTTGTGGCAGCTGACTAGATCCATACCTCACACCAAACATCAAATAAATTCTAAGTGAGTTGAATATTTCAGTGTGAGAAAATGAAAACAAAACGTTGGGGAAGACTTTTCTATGTATATCTTTAAAGGTGGAAAAAAAAAAAAAGACCAACAGATTTGACATAAAACAATACTCACTAAAATAAATATGTATTAAGGAAATCAGTCATTTTTCTGACATTCATGCTATAAGCAATTAAATTTATCGTATCTTTTAATTTCATTTAGTTTCTTCTGACACAAATTTTTTTAAATTGTAAGAAGTTAAAAATGTCAATCTCTCAGGTTTCTTGAAAATTGAGAAATGACTTAATCCCAAACCAGACCAATTTTCACTTACATTTTCTTGTATTTTTTCACTGTTTCTTATTTTATGCTAATTAAAAAATGAGAGGTCAAAATATAGCTTTGTCCTATATTAGCTGTTTGATTTGAGGATGTTACTTAACCTTTCTGAGTCTCAATTTCATTTTTCTGAAAAAAAAACACATGATAATGCCAACTTACCAGACTTGCAGTGGAGGTCAAGAGAAATTTATACAAAGTATTTATTATAATTATTATAGAACCTGACATATAAAGAGTCAATAATGGTAGTTATTACTTTTAATGCTATCACATTGCATACTGAACTTCTTAATTTCATCGATATATCTTTATGACTAGAAACTTACGGTAATGGTATTTCTTCCTGATTCTGAAACAAATTCCACATTATTTAGTCAATGTTGTAGCTTTTTACTTTCTAAAATATTTTTAAACCATAGTAATATAGGCCAATCAGAAAAATAACCTTAATTTTATGAAGACTACCCAGTTATATACAGCATCCTTCACTTTGGTCTTTTAAAGTTGCAGTCTGAAGTCATCAAATGGCCAAGGAACACTGTAATCCAAGAATATGAAAAGGCTCCTTACACGCTAGAACTGCTGAGATTATTCATGAGCTTGAAATAGAAACAGGGTGTTTACCCTTCTTTATCTTACCTCTAACGGGCCATCCTCTGGCAGATCAGTACAGTGGACAGCATTCTGGATCTTAGTTTTACCAAAGATTGCTCGGAGGGTTCCAGGACGTAAATGCCGGGCAATTTCCTGTTAAACACACATTCACGTATAGAATAAAATCAGCCATGCAGTGTTAAGAAAATCACCAGCTGTACAAAACACTTGAATTATTCCTTAATGAAATACATGTATATATTGTTGGTATGGATTTTTCCTGGAAATAGCAGGAATATATGAAAACTGAGCAATGAAAATTTTCAGTTCACTCAGAAGGCTTTTTCTCTGACCCAAAGTAAAGTCTGCTGTAATCTATGTTAAAGAGCAATAATAATTACCTTCTTTTTATTAACAGATTACGGGAGTCATATAAAATATGAACCCAGTTCATTATTGTGAAAGACCTATATTTTACAAAGACAACAGAGATCCTAATAACTTGACTTAAAATGAACTAGTTTGATGGCATTGATTCCAAAAGATTTTTTAATGTTATAGTTGTATTAGCTTAGTGCCATTTAGGGGGGAAAATGGTTTTTCATACTTGTCCATGTACGTATGTATAGCTGTAACTTATTTGTTTTTATTACCATGTAGATTCCAATGTATGATAGAGCATACTTTATCCATTTTCCTGTAAATGAACATTCAATTAATTCCTTCTCCCTCTTTCCCAATCTCTCTCTTACTCTAGCTCACACACACACACACACACACACCAATTCTGCTACAAGCATTCTTGTACATGGTACACATGTGCAAGAGCTTTTCTGGAATCTTAGGGCACATCCATATTCACTTTTACTAAACATTGTCAAACTATTTTCTTAAATGGTGGTAACAATTTGCCCTCAATCATCAGCGCACAAGAATTCCCACTATCCACATCAAAACCAGCATTTGATACTGGCTAACTTTTTAATTTAGCCATTCTGGCGAGTGTGAAATGGCATCTCACTGTGTTCTTAGTTCATATTTCCTCGATTACTAAAGAAACAGAGTGACTTTTCATATAAATCCTTTTCTGTAAAATGCCTGCTCTTGACTTCTCTCCATTTTTCTACTGGGTTCTTCTTTTTCTTTTTGATTGCTACTCTTAGTATATTCTGAATTCTATTTTTTTGTCAGTTACATATGATGATAATATCTTTTTCCCAGTGAAGTTTGTCTTTGAGTTTTCTTTAGAATGTTTTTTGATGACCAGAAAGATTAAATTTTAATGAAATTAAATTTACTGATCTTTTCATTTATGGTTTGTGCTTTTTTATTTCTTAAGGAATTATTCCCTACTCCAAGATCATAATGATAACTCATGTCTATTGTCTTCCAAAATCTTTAAAGTTTACCCTTTCACATTAATTTCTTGATCCACCTAGAACTGACTTTGGGTATCATGTGAGATAGATATCATTTCCATTTTTCCCATATGGATATTTAATTGCACCAGCACCGTTTATTAAATATTTTCACTCCTTCTCCAGCAATGCCCAATGACAGCTCTATTATATAAAAGGTTTCCATGTATGTATGGGTCTGTTTCTTGGTCTGCCATTTGGTGCCACTGGACTTTTTGTCTATTTTTACATCTATCCTATACTGTCTAATTGTTATAATAAGTCTTCATTTGGTAAGGCAGGTCCCCCAAAGTTTGCTTTTGAATGCATTAAGTTTGAGTTGCCCATTAGATATCCAAGTGAGCTCATCAAATACATGATTGCCTACATGTCTAGAGTTCAGAGGAGTGTCCCACACCACAAATAACAATTTGGGAATCAATAGCGTATATATGGCGTAAAGTGACAGTTTAGCTGAAATCATGAAGGCAGTTGAGTATAAACAAAGGAGAGGAGGCACAGGGGCACCATGTCATTAAAAAGCCAAGGAGATGAGAAGAGGTGAGCAAAGGAGCCTGAAGAGGAATGGCCAGCCTGGTTAGAAGAAATGCAGGAGCATCCTTTCCTAGAAGACAGAGAAGGAAAAATTTCAAGGGCAGACAGTTATCACCAGTGACAAACATTCCTGCTAATTCCAGTAAAGACTGAGAAGTGACCAACAAGTTTACCTGTATGGAGTCACTGATATCCTTGACTAGAGCGGTTTCAGAGAAGTGGAGAGAAGCGGAAGACTGATTATTGTGGTTTCAAGAGAAAAATGGGTGGAAGAACTGGGAAAGGTGAACACAGGCAACTATGCTGAGGAATTTTATTGTAAAGGAGGGAGAAATGGAGCAGTAAGTAGACATAGAAGTAAGACCAAGAAAGGTTTTTTGGGGGTTTTTTTTGTTTGTTTTTTTCTTGAGGCAGAGAGGATGTTGTCTTCAAAGTGGGAAAAATAATAGCAGGTTTCCATGCTGATGGGAATGACCCAACAAAGGGAAAAACTGATGAAGCAGAAAGGAGAAGAGAGGATTGCTGGAGTGATGGGATCAAGTAACAAAGTCCATGCTGAACATCAAGACAGTCTACAAGGGCAGTTATAGCTCTGTGAGTTTATGTAGTGCAGGGAACTTACAGAAGTTCTTTATTTTTAATTTTTATTGAGATAAAACTTACATACGACAGCACGCATTGGTGTTAAGTGTACTGCCCCACGAATTTTGTCAAATGTTTACACTCAGTAATCATCACCCTAAAGAAGACCTAGAACATTCCTAAAATTCCCCCTAGATGTTATATTTTGACTGATTCTATTTTCCAGTGAAAAAGCCAACAAGATTGCCAGCAGCTGAAAGAAAGGATGAGGAGGAGGCTTTTGGGATCTGAGGAGAGGAAAAAGAAGGTATGAGATATATTTTAAGAGAACAGAAAAGTGAATGGACTAGAAAAATGAATATGGCTGCTCAGAGCACTAAGTCCGCTTGAGGTTAGTGACTGAGAATGCAGAGGGAGATCATTTAGGACAGTTGTGTGTTCCTCTCTAGCATATTCAGCTGCACAGGTGCAAGCAAAGAAAGGTTAGGTAGAACGCTGAAAGGTTAGGTAATGAAGTTTGGGGTTTTAGCAAGAGAAAACAACAAAACAAGAGAGGGATGAGGGAGTTGAGGGTATATGTAAAGAAACAATGATGACGGACAAAAACTTTTAATTGAGTAAGAAAGTAGGTGAGGCCCTGGGCAGGTGGTGGAGGGGTCAGACACAAGGAAAAGGCAGATCGATGGATCAGCGCTCCTAGTGGGATGAAGTGATTATGGAAACAGTGTGTCAGAAGAAACAAGCTGTAAACTTAAGAGATAGAATATTTAAAATGGGAATTACTGGGGGTAGGCAGAGAGGGAGTTACAGAGATTTATAACGACCAGTTTTAAGGTATAACCATGGCTGAGGTCAGATGGAGGGCAGGCTGGCTGGAAGAAAGGAGGACAACAGATGGAGAGGCCAAGGTACGGAGTGGATTACCTGTATGAATATATAGAGCACCAGGAATTAGGACGGGTGGAGTGTATGGTGCAAGGATTCTGAGCAGCATCCCCGTCTGTGAGTCCATCACTTAAGCACATCTTAAAGGCATTTATTTAGTGAGTTACTTAAGTCTTATTTTCAAGGTTTCTATCAAATGTCAGTTATAACTGTATCAAGTTTAAGAAAAACATTTTGATAAACTAGAAAATAAGGCTGACTTCATACTTTATTTCATATTCATTATTTTCTGTTCCCCGTAATTTTCCAAGCAATGAAGCACCCAACATTAAACACCTACTCTACCTACGTGATGGTAAGCTGCCACTCTGTGAAGTAAGATGTACTCTGTAAAATTATTAAAGGTGAATGAAAGGTGAGCACTTTTCCGTTTCTTATCATTTCAGATTAGGGGGAAAACACTTCAAAATGAGTCACTCTGATTAAACTGTTTCATAAGAACTTGTTCTCTACCCACTTTTATTTGGTGCTCACCATATTCATTAAAATATTACTTTCATGTACGTGCCTGCTACAAGCACAGCCCTTGAACTCCGAAGAGGTGTGTGTGTGCTGGGAAGGGGGTGTGGTGTGGGGAGGTTGTTAACAGCTAATCTATTGTAGTGTGGTCAGAGAATGTGGCCTCTGGTCTTCTTTTGAAGGAACTTGTTGACATTTTCTTAATATGTACTAAGTTTTAGCAAATGTCTCATGGGTAGTTGAGAAGAATACTGTCACAGGTTGCATTCTCGGGGAAACCAACTCTAGATGGAGATCTGCATGCTGGAAGTTTCTTGAGGAGTGGCCTCAGGATCTATACTTATGAGGAAAACAGGGTTGGGCGGAGGGAGAGGTTGAACTTCAAAGCACTAACAAGAGTTGCCCCCAGATAATCCTACAAGGAGCTCTGGAACTTCAGAGTTGTCCTCCATTGAAGCAAAGGGGTCAGATCTTTATCTCTCCAAAGTGACAAGTCACTGGATACAGGCTGTTCCAGGGAAGGGGGCATGTCCTTGTGCAAGCTGACTTTCTTCAGCAGAAAGCAATTTCTGGCGAGGGACCTGCTGCATTACTGTCAGCTGCCAACATTTCCAGCAGCTGGGGAATGGGCACTGCAGTCCTGAAGGGCAGAGGCGGATCTGAGTGACCCTCCACAGCAGTGACCACTTACACACACACATGCACACACATGCAGGTGCACACACACATACATACACAAAGATGTGCAGATTCACATAAAATTCATGCAGAATGTACAACATATATGACAAATATGGCACTGCAGATGCCTGCAGTCTGATTACCATTCTCTTTTCTGGAAGGTTTTGCATTATCTCTTTATCTGGGCATTGGCCATTTACCAGTCATTCTGCTCCATACTCAACAGTCTAATCCAATTTGAAGACATACATTTCAGGTCAGCTTGTATTTTTTTTATTATTATTTTCTCTCCTCCATTTTCTCTCTTCTTTCCTTTAGCCACTTCTATGCAATCGGTATTGAAACTTCTGGTTCTACCTTCCCTCTCTTTTCCCCCCTATTTTCCATCTAATTGTCTTTTTGGGTTACATTCTAGGACAATTCCTCCATTTGATCTGTCACCTCACTAATTTGTTTCTAAACTGGGTCCCCTGCACACTTCTACTCATTTGCTAAGAATTTTGACATTTCAAAAATTATAGTTTAAACTTTCCA